TTACAGGTGTGTGCCACCATGCCTGGCTTAGGTAGATGAATGTTAAAAGTTATTGTGTGGCAAATGTACTTTCCAGTTAGCAATAAAAATGTTTGCATTATACTTAGCCTGAGAGTGCTGCCTTCTAGCATCAGGGTGTTTGGTTTTGGTTTGGGTTTTGGTTTTTCGGTATTTTTTATTGGTTGGTTGGTTGGTTTTTTAGTACTAGAGAATGAACCCAGGGCCATGCATATGCTAGCCAATACCATTGAGCTACATTCTCAGCCCTTAGAGTCATTTGGTTTTGTTTGGTTCATTGGTTCCAGGGATCAAACTTGGGACCTTGTGCTTGCGAGGCAGGCAGCGGAACCACTGAGCTAAATAGAATCAGTTTTTATATTCAATACACTTAGATGTCAAAGCTATCTCTTCTGGGAGAGCTAATAAGATGAAGTCTCAGATTTGGTATTAAAGAGAAAATACACTCTTTAAAATTTGCCTCCTTTCCAGTACTGCTCGAGCAATTTGTACAAATGTGTATAGCTAACTGGCTTATAATTATTTCTTTATGAGTCTTGATTTCCCCATTGGAGAAGATCCTTAAAGATATTTCCAGTAGCCAGCATAGCTCCTGAAGATTAGTAAGTGCTCAATATTTACTGGAGCAGTAGTTCTGAGACAGTTCTACATATAAGCCTCTTTTTCTCTATGGGAAGTCTTTGTTTTGTCTTCAAGCCAATTAAAATTCATTTTGAACTGGGAAGTTTTGCATCAGAAGTCCTGGCCTTTTTGAAATGCTCAGTGCATTGTTTAATGTTGGAGTTCTCATCATGGCCTGAGTTTGAGTTTAAGCTGTTTCTCTTTAGGTGTCACCTGTTCGCTGTCCTAGGACTGGGTGGTTACCCCAGCTCTTCAGACTCCCAGGAATAAACTACTGATTCAAGATGTTGGACTTGAGTTCCCTCTTTCCCCTCTCTCTTTCCTGCTTTCTCACATGAATTTCCAGCCTGAAACTGGTACAAGACATGCTTTGAGGCTTTTTTCTTTATGTAATTGTTTTTGCTGGGATGGGCCAAAGGCCATGTGCATGGTAACTACACACACTAGCACTGAGCTACACCTCAGCCCCGTACCTAACTCTTTTAATAGTCAAGCAAACTTTGAATTTGCATAATTCTTGGGTAAGTGAACTAATCAGATTATAGATTATAGTACTAACTTGGACCTTGGACACTATGGTTTTCTTAAGCAAGGTGACAGCTTCAGCTAAATAAACTAGTATATAGTATATGGGATTTCTTTGAGCTTCATTATTAGCTTCACTTTGTGGGAGATCTGTGATGCAAATAACCCTCTTTGCCTTAAGAAATATTTTAGAGATTTTTCCATCCCATGTTTTATATCTAGTTTAATAAATTGATTAAAAATATTTTTTCTATGTGAGGAATAATATATTCTGCCTTTCCCATCCAAAATGCAGATTCCTAAAAGGCAGAAAGGGTATTCTAACTCTTGAAGTAGCTGTTTCTTGGCTTGTTTTATACCTGATATACAGGAGGTGTTTTTCCTAGCTTCATTGATTATGTGCCATCTGTTCTGTGAGCATTTTTTAAATAATGAAAGGGGAGAGAACATGAAAGGAGAAGTGGAAAGATGCTGGAGAAGAGGAAATAGCTGGAAGTTTGGGGACGGAGGGACTTACCTAAGGTCAGTAAAACAGCATGGCATGGTTAGGCACTCGGAGTAGAGAGCTAATTAGCTTCTCAGCTAATTTTCTTCCCTATGTACCTTCATAAATTCTTCATCAGGTCAGAATCCTGCCCTCCTGGAATCCTGGTCTTGTTTTGTGGGTTTGGTTTTGTTGTTCTGTTTTGTTTTTTGGTACCAGGGATTGAACTCAGGACCTTTCACTTGCAAGGCAAGTGTGGCACCACTGAGCTAAATCCTGGCCCCTGCTCTTGTTTCTCCAGACCTCGCAGACCACGCATAGGCAGTGGCAAGTAAGCTTGATGTATTATTCACAACTTACAAATAAATGCTGAGTAATTATTGTCCCTATGATGAGCTTTTAGCATTTACTTACTTACCTGTCCCCTTCACTTTTATGCCTGGACCAGATGAACAATTATAGAACTTTAGGTAACTTCTAGGTTAGACTCAAGGTCAAGAGATATTTTTTTTTTTTTTAAGAGATATTTTTTTTTGGTACCGGGGATCGAACCCAGGCCCTTGTGCTTGTGAAGCAGGCGCCGGAACCACTGAGCTAAATCCCTGGCCCAAGAGATATTCTTAATAGAGCCAATTCCTTCCTCAGAAATCTTAGCCAGGCCTTATCCTGTCATCCTGTCTTGCCGTCTGTTCACATGCTTTTTAGAATGGGTCCCAAAGCTAAATTTGGCTAGTCTTGTGGTCTTTTTTTGTTTATGTTTTGAGACAGGGTCTTGCTATGTTCTGGCTGGCCTTGAACTCACAAGGATCCTCCTGCCTCAGCCTCCCAAGTGCTGGGATTACAGGTATATGCCACCATGCCTGGCTAGTCTGGCTATTTTTGTGATGTCACAATGTCAAGTTACAGCTACTCACTACTTTCACTAGGGAACCTAGATGTAAGTTTTTACAGGAACATTTGAGCAGGCCTTACAATTAATATTTTTTTGCACATGAACAGCATAGTTTTTTTTTAATAAATTAGGCTTTTGTTTTGTTTTTTGAGGTACTCTCACCATGTAGTCCAGGCTGGCCTCAAACTCACTGTTTAGACTGCCTTGAAATCCTCCTTTTTTAACGTATTTGGGGTAGAGAATATAGTAGTGAGAAGAGGTTTACTTCTACATCAGAATAACTTTGTGTAAAGATTTAATGTTTATGACTTTAACATAGTGTTGTGACTGAAGCTCAGCTTTGTAGTTTGGTTCAGGCCACCGAGTATGTGATACTGTTAAGTGTCAGTTATTTTTTTCAAACTCAGCCATTACTCCAAGCCTGGGGCATCTAAGGGCAGTGAGGAACAGGTGTCTAAAGGAGAAATGTTGGTGCCCGAGAGTGTTTTCCAGTTGTATTGAATTTCTTACTTGGTGTATTTTTGACTTGTCTTGGTTTCTTTCCTGCTTGTGGTTATGCTATTTTGCTTGCTATTTCTTAGGTATTCTTTGTCAAGTCATTCAAGAGTTGTAAAATGGAAGTTAATATTTCTACACAAATACTTTATGGATGAAACCAATAGTTTTAGCATTGGTTTTTAACCCAGCCAAGAAAAGTTAACATGATAAATGTGTTTGTGACTTTGGACTCATTTTTAGAATCTTGAGAGTATGAGCTTTTTTTTCTTTTCTTTTCTTTTCTTTTCTTTTCTTTTTTTTTTTTCTCTCTTCTCTTCTCTTCTCTTCTCTTCTCTTCTCTTCTCTTCTCTTCTCTTCTCTTCTCTTCTTTTCTTTTCTTTTCTTTTCTTTTCTTTCTTTAGACAGGGTTTTACTATGTAGTTGAGAATGACCTAGAACTCACTATGTAGCCCAGGCTGGTCTCGAACTTACAGCGATCCACCTGCCTCAGCCTCCCGAGTGCTGGGATTACAGGTGTGTGCCACCACACCTGGCAAATACAATACCAGTGGCTTTCTATATTTCTTTTGTTGTTGTTTTTTTTAAACTGGGGATCGAACTCGGGGCCTTGCGCTTGCGAGGCAGGTGGTGGCACCACTGAGCTAAATCCCCAGCCCTGAACCTTTTTATTGTTGTTGGGTTTGGGGGGTTTTCTTTGGGTACCGGGGCTTGAAATTGGGTCCTTGCATTTGTGAGGCAGGTGTGGAACCACTGAGCTAAATTCCCGGTCCCTGAACCTTTTTAGAAACCAATAGTTTTTAATTTTAAAAAACCCTCAACTACAGTTTGATGTCCACCTGGAGTAGGTAGGTTGGTTCTCTTTTTGTCTGTGAATGTTCCATCTGACAACTTTAGGTATTCAGGAAAAGTATTGTTTCCACACCTCACCTTGCCAACTAGTTGAAACAGACCTCTAGTGATGACACTGTAGGGAGCAGAATCAAAATAGAAACCCAACTTCTGATGGCAGCATGGACCACAGGCAAGTGACTTTAAGCTTTTAGTGTGACTATCCAACTCCAGGGACTATAGTGGAAGGGGGGGAGATTATTTGTGCTTTCCTCCCAGAAAAGCCTGGGGGGAGGTGTTGGTGAGGGATAGGAGGGGTGGTAGTCTTTCTGGTCTGGTAGAGGGGGGTGGTGCTTCCTTACTCCTGATTCTACTGAGGCTGATGTTGGAGGGTAACTTTTCTAGCCAGTGCTTTTTGGTATTTAAAGGATTGGTTTTGGGGCTGGGGATTTAGCTCAGTGGTTCAGTCGCCTGACTTGCAAGTGCAAGGACCCTAGTTCAATCCCCAGTAACAAAAAAATAAAATATTAATCTTTCTTATTACTAGTACATTTGTTGTCACTTTTGGGTTTATTTTTCATGAAGTTAGTCTATTAGCTTGCCAATTTAAAGTTATTTTATAACTAGCTATTCTCTACTGAAAATTTTAAATTTTACCTTTTTTGTTGTTTATTAAACAGTCACTTCTGGAGACAATTCCTAATTGAAAATAGCATTATTGTTTTATATTCCTAGGATTCTAAGTCTAATCTAGATACTTCATATATTCATAGGACTTTTAAAACCCTTTCCTTGTTGCTTGTGAATACTGTACTCTATTTGCTAAAAGTTGTCTTTAGAAAAAAAAATCTTAATAGGCATCTTCCTCTGTCAAGCATCAGCCCTTTGGCCATTTATCTTAGGGCTCTTCAAATGAGAGAAGCAGAAAGAAAACCTGTCTCTGAAAGTTTAAAGGCTAATTTACTGCCTTAGTGGTGAGCTGAGTTCCCAGCCCCAGAGTTAATCTAGAACCATTCAACAACATCAATAGATACTTAACACTCATATTTCAGGAATGTCCTAAGAGTTTTACATATATTTCTCACTTTGTCCATCTTACCCCTGTAAGATAGGTATTTTTGTTTTTATTTTTAGATGAGGAAACAGGCCCTGAAAAGTGAGAGATCATTCAACTTGGGGTGGAGAAGGAGAATCTGAACAGGGTGAGTTGGGAATCTAACCTGCTAGGTGGTATGTACACTATATTATTTACTTAAACACTGAACATTTTAGGTCTTCACTGTGTCTGAAAGTAACAATCCTTTACTCACCAAAAGATTATTTTTAACTGAGATAAATTATATATAAAAATACATGTGTATATCATATATGTATATATCATATATGTATATATTATATGTATATATAATATCTGGGGGGAGAAATTGTCTGGACCCCAGCATATATATATGATCTGTGGAAGCTGGCCTGAGGGGAGGGGGCTCTTTTTGTTTGTGGTTAAAAACACTGTAAAAATGTCCGTTCTATGGATAGAGTCTTTGATCTTACTGGTTTGAGTTGAAGTTCGTTGTTTTTCAGTACTTGTTCCAAATTTTTAGGTATTTTCCATCTAGAAAGTTTTTGGTGTTTAAAATTTCATCTGAATTTAGAAGGTTGTTAATTTTTCTTTCTAAGGGAACAGTCAGGAATTCTGATTTTATATTGTGGACAGAAGATAAAAATAGCCATTTTCCTCAAGAAAAGTGATACTTCTGAATCCTAGCTCTTCAGTAGTGAAAATAGGACTATTTATTTTCACTTGACTTCTACTTCCTGCTAGTGGGGAAACCCTTTCCTAGAGATGTTATAAGAAAGATTGCTGGGGAAAGGGTTTCTAGATTCAAGGATAAGAACCTCAAGAAACTCCACAATATCGTCATTAGAAAAATGGTATTCAGGCCAGATGTGGTGGCTCATACCTGTAATCCCAACCCTCAGGAGGCTGAGGCAGGAGGATTTCCTTGAGTTTGAGAGCAGCCTGAACTACACACAGTGAGGTACTATCAAAAAGGAAAGAAAAAATGGTATTCATTATGTGCTAGTCTTTTTAATCCTGAAGCTTCATTTTCACCAGTTTGAAAGGCAACAGCTAAGGTGGAGAGGCTATATAATAGGGGAGGAGGAAAGCAGGAGAATGCAGTACAGGAACCTTGAAGTGAATGTATTAAGACAGAAGCTGCAGAGACTGTCCACTGAATGAAAATAAAAAGATACGCAGTGTTCAAGGTCAGACCAAAATCAAGGATCTTAGTTTACCTTGCTTTGTTTTGTGTTTTTGGTACTAGGGATCAAACTTGGGACCTTGCGCTTGCAAGGCAGGTGACAGAACCACTGAGCCAAATCCCCAGCCCTTAGTTTACCTTGTTAATTCCTTAGGTTTGCACCTTTTTGTTTGTTTGGTCCCAGGGATCGAATTCATGACCTTGTGCTTGCAAAGCAGGCAGCAGCTAAATCTCCGGCCCAAGCATCTTAGTTCTCTCCTTAGCTTGCATCTACATATAAACTTAGACTTCTTTCCAAAGAACAATGGACATTTACAGGAGACACACACTGTAGTGACTGTAGCACTTAGCTGAGGCATATATCAGAAACTCTTCGTCGTTTTCTGTCCCCCTCCTAGGCTGACCAGTTCCCTGGTGTGTTACCTGCTTCTGCTTCTGCTACCGATCCAAACTGCAGAACTTCTCATTCAGCTCTAAAAGGACCCAGACCAACGTTTTCCAGACCCTTCATTCTGGTGACTGACTGATGGAAGGAAAGAAGAGGAGGGGGGATATAGTTGTATACTGGATGAAAAAGAAACACTTAAATTACTGTACCTCTTTAACTTAGTAGTCTGCAGCCATCTTGATTGTATTGTTTATGTATTTGGGGAAGTTGGAGATGACTGGCCTTAGACATGACTTGAGGGGAATAAATGGAGGGGATAAGAATCAGTTGATTTTGAAAGATGTTGATGTTTTGAAATAATGTACCCATCTGAGGAATTCTAAGTTTATAAAAGTACCATTGATGTAGCCTTTCCCCTCACTTCCCCACTGCAGGTTTCTCTGACGGGAGATATTTCTTTAATAATAGCATGTCTCTGATATTCCCAGTAACAGCTGCCACAGCTACTATCAAGGAAAGGATAGAAAACGTTCAGGACATCATATAGACTCCTCATCTACAAAGTTCAGTAGCTGTGCCTCCTTCCTACACAGAAGACTTGGAACTGCAAACAGGCTGGGGTCATTCAGTGACATCTCTCGATGCTGCACAAACAAGTTTGATTTTTGTTTTGTGGGGTGCAGAAGAAAGCAGACTGTACTAAAACTAAAATAATTTTATGTCTATACTTTCTCACTTGTTTTTATTTTTTGTTTGTGGTTATTTTGGCGGGAGAGGAAGGGTTTGGGGATAGAATTTCACTTCACGTCTGGAGTGAAGGGGAGGAGGGGAAGCTCAGCCCTTCACCCAAGAATAATCCAGTAATGACATCTCTACGCGTGGGAAGTGTTTCCCTCCACACTGGGAGGATCTAAGGCTGCACCCCAGTGGGATTCCCTGCTTGAGTTGGAAGGCCGTTCAGAGGGCGATGGCAAGTTGTAGCAGAGTGCCTAGGGCTTATCCTGCCAGAAATGAAATGCCAAAGAGGAGAGATGAGGTCGAAGGGACGTCCCCCAGTTTGGGATGGGGGATGTGCTGTGTGTGCCTTAAGAGCCCGGTGCCCGCCGAGGCCTGTGTCCACCGCTGAGGGTCTGACACCGAAAGCGACGCTTCTGGGCACCAAGTCCGAGTCACGCGAAGCGGCCCAGCTGTGCCCAGGCGGCCAGCGCCAGACCCTGGGCGTCCTCCATCTTCTCTCCTGAGCTCCCCCTGCTTCAGCTGCCAGCGCCGCGGACCGC